GTAAATGGTTCGACCGGTTCGACCATTGATCCGTGCAATCCCCAGGGTTGGCCCGGCTTGGCCATGGGTACGCACGCTCCTTGCTCAGCGGGACATTCTGTGACCAGGGCATCACAACTTGAGACTCGACCCGCCTGCAGCCTCCAAGCATCGACGCGCACGACGCCGTCCGTTCCATTGTTTCTGCAACATGTATGACCCTCGTAATCTGAACACCCATGGTATGGGTGGTGGCCGTCTCCTGGGTGTGTGCCTTTGCTTCAAACATTAACTCGGTCTGTCCTTCTTCTTGCTCCGCTCTTATTACTTACTTGGCCCTGCTCTTCTCTTCTTGACCATCCTCTTGTTTCTTCTCTTCTTTCCACCCGTCACCAGTTTCCTTTCCTTCACGACGAGTCCCGGGATTTTTCTTCTTTTCTTTTTTTCCCCCCTCATATACATAAAAAAAAACCATAACCTTTGAGGGCTCCTGGTGATAGTCCCTCGTCTCTCTTTCGTTCTCGACTTAGAAGCCTCCTGGTGTGGCCTATTCTTCGAAATCCTTTTTATTCTATTTCTTCTCTTGGTCCACCCTGGTGACGGACAAAGCATTCACACGCATATCAAGATGGAGTCGATTTCATTGCGGTCCCTTTGCCTGTACGGCCTGTTGGCGACCTTCGCCGACGCCTCCCCGGTCGAGAAGCGCGCCAACATCCAGAAGCGAGGACACTTCGTCGTCCCCAGAGTGCCCAACGACAACTTCAAGGGCCACGATGGCACGAGACAACTGATCAAGGCGTACCGCAAGTTCAGCATGCCCATGCCCGCGGGCCTGCTCGAGGCCATGGCCGCCCAGGCTGCCAAGAACCCCGAGCCCGTCAGGGCCGAGAGCTTCAGGGCCGCCGCCAGCAACCAGACCGCCGCCAGCAACCAGACCAACGCCGCCGCCGGCGCCCCCGGCACCGGAATCACCACCGCCACCCCGATCCGCAACGACGTCGAGTACGTCTCGCCCATCAAGATCGGCGGCCAGACCATCAACGTCGACTTCGACAGCGGCTCCTCCGACCTGTGGGTCTTCACCTCCCAGCTAGACCCCCAGTCCCAGACCGGCCACGAGCTGTACGACCCGACAAAGAGCCAGACCTCCAAGATGCTCCAGGGCCAGCAGTTCAGCATCCGCTACGGTGACGGCTCCGGCGCCCAGGGCGTCGTCGGAACCGACGTCGTCGACATTGGCGGCGCCGTCGTCGAGAACCAGGCCATCGAGATGGCCACCGCCGTCTCCCAGCAGTTCGTCGAGGACACGGCCAACAACGGCCTCATGGGCCTCGCCTTCTCCCAGCTCAACACCGTCAAGCCCGACAAGCAGAAGACCTTCTTCGACAACGTCATGCCCAGCCTCGCCGAGCCCGTCTTCACCGCCGACCTCCGCAAGAAGTCCGTCGGCGCCTACGAGTTTGGCCGCATCGACACGTCCAAGTTCTCCGGCCAGATGGCCTGGATCCCCATCAACACCACCAGCGGCTTCTGGCAGTTCTCCAGCGAGAAGTTCGCCGTCGGCGACGGCCAGGTCCAGACCGGCCAGGCCGGCGGCCAGGCCATCGCCGACACCGGTACCACCCTCATCCTCGCCAACCCTACCATGGTCCAGGCCTACTACCAGCAGGTCCAGGGCGCCAAGCAGGACCAGTCCGTCGGCGGTGTCACCTTCCCCTGCAACGCCAAGCTTCCCGATCTGATGATGGACATTGGCGGCGTCTACATGGCCCGCGTCAAGGGTAGCGACATCAACTTTGCCCAGGTTGACCAGCAGAGTAAGCCAGCCGCTCCCCCGCTTCCGTTTCTTTACAACCCACCCCCGCAGGAGCCCAATCACTAACACGCATCCCAGCTTGCTTCGGCGGTCTCCAGGCCACCACCTCCAAGCTCCAGATCTACGGTGACATCATGTTCAAGTCGCAGTTCGTCGCCTTCAACGGCGGCAACAAGTCCATCGGCATGGCGGAGCACGTCATCAGCAAGCAACAGACTGCCGGCACAGCATTGGGATCTGGGTCAGGCGCAACGGCGTAAGCATTGCCACACTCGCGCGGCAACTTGATTCCTTCTCTTTTTTTTTGGCATTAAGATTCACTCGTGTTCGTGACCAGGTTCAGCATGAACAGCGACGGCTCGACGTCCGGAAGCGACAGGTCCATCAGGACCGCCATGGGAGGATTAATGGTCGCTTTGTTGTCCGCCGTGGTCATTGGCGCCTGAGACGGGCAGGGCAAAGGACACACGCACACACACACACACACACACACACACACACACAAACACGCAGACTTATTTATTTATATTCCATATCTCAATGAACCGGGACCTAGGTGGTGAATCTCATTCTAGCTTAGATATCCCCTCAAATCTCTAGCCGGCATAGTAAATGAATCGCATTGTGATTTAAAAAACAGACCATTCCCGCACCCCCCCAACGAGCCGTCGTCTATCCGTCAGTTATTCGGTCGCCTCTTCTTCGGCTTTGACCTTGTACTCCTGTTTCCCGACTCGCTGACAGAGTTCCTTCATGGCATTGCCAAGCCACTCAAAGTCCGTCTCGTCCAGGAAGATCTGCGCGCTGATCCTCATGTACCAGCGGCCCTGGTGCCAGAACAAGGCGACAAAGGTATGGTAGTCGTCCACCAGCGCCTTCAGCATCCAGTTGACGGCGGCGAAGGCCTCCCTCTCCGGCACCGTCACCGTGCCGTCCGGGCCCACCGAAGCGGCCTCCGCGCCCGCCGCGCCCATGACGACCGGCAGCGCGACGTTGACCATGCCGCACTTGGTCAGCGTCCCCGACTTGTTGTCCAGGACGAAGGTCCCCAGCGCCGCGGCGGCCCTCCTGCCGCCCTCCTTAGCCAGGGCCCAGAGGTACTCGATGATCCTGTCCTCTCCGCCGATGCTCTTGCGCCACTCGATGGCGTGCTTGACGCACATGTTGGGGCTGTTGTCGGCGGTGCCCACGAAGGCGAACGCCCTGACGAACTGGGACTCGCCGGCCAGCGGGAGCGGGTTGTGGCGCTGCGCCCCGGAGCGGGACACGTAGCCGTGCGACGTCGGCACCGTCGAGGCCAGGAGGTGCTGGTTCCGCTCGGGCACGTAGAAGACGGCGCTCGCGCGGGGGACGTGGAGCCACTTGTGGCAGTTGGACACGAAGAAGTCGGGGTCCGTCGCGGCGAGGTCCAGGGGGACCATGCCCACGCCCTGGGCGCCGTCGAGGAGGCTCAGGACGCCCAGCTCGCGGCAGGCGGCGGCCACGGCCTGGTAGGGGAACGGGACCCCCGGCAGGCTGGTGACGACGTCGAAGAGGCAGACCCTGGGGCGCTTGCCCTCCGCGCGGCAGCGGGCGACGGTCTCGCGGAAGAGGGCCGCGATCTCGTCGTCCTCGAGGGGGTACGCGAGGGGGATGCCGCGGGAGGAGACGAGGCCGCCGCGGGTGTCGACGACGTAGTCGATGGTCTTGGCGCAGGCGCCTTGGGCGGTGGAGAAGTAGAGGATCTCGTCGAGGCCGTCGGGCGCCCAGGGGAGGTTGCGGAGGACCGTGTTGATGCCGACGGTTGTGTTTGTGACGAAGACGGTGCAGGAGAGGGGCGCGTTGACGAGGTCTGCTATGGCCTGGCGGGATTCTCTGAGTCGGTCAATGTAAGTCCAGCGGATGAAGGGGTCGGGTCGTGCTTCGGCCTCGTCTTGGTAGGAGCGGAGGACGGTTTGGATGTGACGAGGATGGGTACCGAAGGATCCTGTGAGGCTTGGTTAGCTGAGACCATGCGAAGAGGCCCTTTCTTCGGCGGGGGGGGGGGGGGGGGGGGGGGGGGGGGGAGGGGGGGGGGGGGGGGGGGGGGGGGGAGCGGCGAGTGGTTGATCGTAGGTTGAGGCCGCACCGTTGTTCATGTTGCGATAAGCCGGGTCGATGAGGAACTCCTTCAGCATGGGCTTGCCAAATGGAGGCAAGCTTGGCCGAAGCTGATGAGTTTCTTTGACGAGGTCTTCCATTATGCTAGTCGGTCTTGACTGATGATGATTATGATAACCGTTAACTTCGCTGGAATCAATGAACAATGAGCTTATCTCCGCGTGGGGAAACAAGTCAATTGGATAACGGGGGATAGAGTTTTATGTCAATTGGACTCTCAAGCTGCTGCCGCCTACACTGCTTTTATGTCAAAAAGACCGCATGATATGAGTCTTCAGCCTGAAAGACCTGAGTCACCGCTGAGATTGGCTGCCGTGTCTGTTGTTGTTGTTGAAAGATACGAAGGGGCAGGGTTCCGCTTCCGCGCTCCGAGGGCCGGGGGCACGCACGGGGGATGAACCGCTGCGAGCCGCCAAACATGTCCGGCGCAGGGCGCGCGGCTTGCATCAAGTGAGCGAGGCCGGGCCTAGCCGACGGAATCTGAGTGAGTCACTGAGATAAGGGCCACGCTTTGAACCAGTGCATGTCTGCAGATCTGAACGGTTTGAAGGGAATTGGTTGGTGCCTCATTGAATGAAGGATTGTGGTAAGTATCGGATGCCGAAGGTCAGGTCGGGCACTTGAGTGGTTCCCTTCCCTCATGATAAACGTCCTGGTTTGGCCATACGCAATCGGCCTCTTCAAAGCTGAGAGATACGCGGAGCTTTGCTCCAGTGACTCGGCTGATAAGGAACATCAGAAGGCGCCATTCATCTCAGATCCAGCGAGAGCATGACTTGAAAAAGATGCTGAAGTTGGTGGGCAAGTGGACTGCCGAGATGATTTTGTTGCAGACATGGCTATGAGACTAGAAACAGACCTTTCTGTATATACAGATAAAGATTGTAAGCCATACGAAGTTCCAATCCCAAGGATGGTTGGAAGAGATCTATTCGAAAGATTGTTTGACCGATTGTTTGACCGATTGTTTGACCGGGTTGCATCGAGATTGAGATTGCTGCACTATGTCACGTCATCAATACTTAATTTGAGGATCGGCAAGTTTTCAGCATCGAAGATCGTGGCGGACATAGCTCAGTTGGGAGAGCGTCAGACTGAAGCCAACTTCAATCACTTAATCTGAAGGTCGTGTGTTCAATCCACACTGGCCGCATCTTCAATTAACTTTTGTTGCTTTTTCCTATGACTCCAATCAATATCAATATCAAGTAGAGAAGAACAATTGCTTTGGCTTACTTAGATGAATGAGTGAGTGACTATTAAACTATCCCCGACTCTTTTCCCCTTGATGTTTCCTCCAGCCATAGCCATGTGTGCCAGCTGGGTGTGGGTGGCTCCAATGCAACTTCGGGTCACTGCGCCGCTGTAAGTAACCCTGCATGTTCCACATCTCTGCCCTCTTTCTTGCATTCGTCGGAATTCAAACCTGAATCGCACAAGGGCGGGAGGGAGGGGTGGATGATTCAGGGCGGTACGCAACCTTGAAGCATAGCAGGCATCCATCCATCCATCCATCCGACTGACATTGGAGGTAGTTCTCCGGGCCAGGTGAACCAGGCCCAGGCCCAGGACAACCAATGCTCGCTCGCCGTTGTCATCCGGCGGGAATCACACATAAGCCAAATGCCGCACAGCAGAAGAAGATGAGCGAGCAGGAACGCACGGTAACCGAACCAACCCTGGCTGGCGAGCGAGCACAAGCAAGCTGGCTATATCCACGACAACCTCCGCGACGATGCCGTCAGCGTTCATCAGGGAATGTGTTCCGGACGAGTTCGTCCTGTTCTCGTTTTCGAAGCTTCCCCTTCGGAACGGTTGGGCCCAATCTCCGCCATTGCCGTCCCCCCCCGGGATCATGCAACCGGCATGCCGACGCGGGGTTGCAAGCGGGCCGGCACACGCATACATAAAATAAACATGTGGTGTAATCTCAACACGTCATCTTAACCCGCGCCCAGAGGCCCACGGAGAGCTCGGCCACAAGTGGGATTCCCTCGCGCACCTACCGTCCTGTAGAGCCGCCCATTCGCAATTGGACGACGGCCGACGATTGTCCGAGGCACACACATGCTCTTCTTGTCTTGGCCTCTGGTCTGTCTCTCCGCACTGCAACCTCTCCTCCCCTTTCCCCTCACTATAGGCGGCACCACCTCCCCGCCAAAACCCCGGCTCCCAAAGGGTCGAGTGTGACCCGGCGGCAACGTCAGTGTCACATGAGAACCAGGCGCGGGTCCGGGGAAATGAAATGACGATCTTGCTCCCTTTTTCGAGCCGGAGGTTGCGGACCGCTTGATAGATACTCTTGACCTCTATGGCTAAGACCAACAACCCCCGGGTTGTCTGTCACCTGCGAACTCGGTCAATAGGGTAGATTAGATACCTGGATACCTCCATGGTTTTTCCCAACCTTATATTACTGTATTGACTCGAGCGTGATGCTTTGACGGCCTTTGCGACTGTGTATGGCTAGCGTTGTGCACTCATACGACCTTGAGAGTGCATGCTTTGCACGCGTATCCATGTTGGGGATCGCTTACACCAGAAACTGGAGGAACTGCCACAATATGCGTGTACCAGGCAGGGGTGAGCTCCCGCGTAGCCGATGATTAATCGCTCATAGCGTGAAGAAGGGAGGGGGGGGGCCTCTCAATACCAAGCCGCCGGATACTACCACCGAGCGGTCCAACCATGACATTACATGACTTGCTTAGCCGTTGCCCTGAACGGGAGAGCCAAGAGAGGAGGTCCGGTTCGCAATATATTCCTACCCAACCAATGGTCGTCCAAGTCAGACATGCCGCCGCCGCTGGGCATGATATCACAAGACAGCCAGGCCTCAATCGGTTCCCAATTGAAGCCACCGGATGGAAAGCCTCCCTCCTCCTTGGTAGCTTGGCTCTAATCCCGGTGGGGCCCAAAGAGGTTGAAAGGAACAACAGAGCGTCCCACCCCCCCGCCCGCTTGAGAAGTGAGGGCAGAGGAAAGCCGAGGAAGAAGCGTCTCTCGAAGCCAAGCTCGTGTGCTTCAAAGACCTAAACGTAGCAAGTATAAATAAGAGAACGCAGGAGCCATACACACCCGAGAAGTAGCAACGCTCCTCGCCAACCCCTTTCAGCGTCACCCTTCACGACAATCACCGATCCCAACAATGCATCTCTCCAAGGCGGCATTCTTCGCCGCCGCCGCCGCGACGACCCTCGCCGCGGCGCAGAACTCGACGAGCCCGCTCCGCTCCCCGGAATGGGACGCCGCCTACGCCAAGGCCAACGCGGCGCTGTCCCGCGTCTCCCTGGACGAGAAGATCGGCATCGTCTCGGGCATCGGCTGGAACAAGGGCCCCTGCGTCGGCAACACGTCCCCGGCCTCGTCCATCGGCTACCCCTCCCTCTGTCTCCAGGACGGCCCCCTCGGCGTCCGCTACGCCCGCAGCGTCACGGCCTTCGTGCCCGGCATCCAGGCCGCCGCCACGTGGGACGTCGACCTGATCCGCGAGCGCGGCGCGCTAAAGGCCACCGAGGCCAAGGGCGTCGGCGTGCACGTCATGCTCGGCCCGGCCTGCGGCGCCCTGGGCAAGTCCCCGAACGCCGGCCGGAACTGGGAGGGCTTCGGCCCCGACCCGTACCTCATGGGCGTCGCCACCCGGGAGACGATCGAGGGCATGCAGTCCGCGGGCGTCCAGGCGACGGCGAAGCACTACATCGCCAACGAGCAGGAGCTCAACCGCGAGACCATCTCGAGCAACGTCGGCGACCGCGCCATGCACGAGCTGTACCTCTGGCCGTTCGCCGAGGCGGTCAAGGCCAACGTCGCGTCGGCCATGTGCTCGTACAACAAGGTCAACGGCACGTGGGCGTGCGAGAACGACGCCGTGATGAACAGGCTGCTCAAGCAGGAGCTCGGGTTCCCGGGGTACGTCATGACGGACTGGTACGCCACGACGGGCACGGTCAGCGGCGCCAACGCGGGCCTCGACATGATGATGCCCGGCTCCGACTTCAACAACAACCCGTCCTCAGTGTGGTGGGGCCCGCAGCTCAAGACGGCGGTGCAGAACGGCCAGGTCTCGCAGGCGACGCTCGACGACAAGGTCCGCAGGGTCCTCGCGGCGTGGTATCTCGTCGGCCAGGACCAGGGCTCGTACCCGCCCGTCAACCTCGCCGCCGACGTGCAGGGCAACCACAAGCAGAACGTGCGCGCGACGGCGCGCGACGGCATCGTCCTCCTCAAGAACAGCGGCGCCGTCCTGCCCCTGAGGAGGCCGGGCAGGGTCGCCGTCGTCGGCTCCTCGTCCGCCAACAACCCGGCCGGCATCAACGCCTGCGTCGACCGCGGCTGCAACACGGGCACCCTCGGCATGGGGTGGGGGTCGGGCACGGTCGACTACCCCTACCTCTCGGCGCCGCTGGACGCGATCCGGGCGCGCGCGGCGCAGGACGGCACGCAGGTGTCGGCGAGCAGCAACGACAACGCGCAGCAGGGAGCGGCGGCGGCGGCGGGCGCGGACGTGGCCCTTGTCTTCGTCACGGCCGACTCGGGCGAGGGGTACATCAGCGTCGAGGGCAACCCCGGCGACCGCAACAACCTGGACCCGTGGCACAACGGCAACGACCTCGTCCGCGCCGTGGCCGCGGCCAACCAGAACGTCGTCGTCGTCGTCCACAGCACGGGGGCCATCGTCCTCGAGACCATCCTCTCGCTGCCGGGCGTCAAGGCCGTGGTCTGGGCCGGGCTCGGGTCGCAGGAGACGGGCAACGCGCTCGTCGACGTGCTCTGGGGCGCGACGAACCCGAACGGCAAGCTGCCGTACACCATCGGCAAGAGCGCCGCCGACTACGGCACCTCCATCTCCCGGAGCGGCCAGGACGACTTTGCTGAGGGCATCTTCATCGACTACCGCCACTTTGACCAGGCCGGCATCGAGCCCAGGTACGAGTTTGGCTTCGGATTGTGTAAGTGAACCCTCTCCTTCACCCATCCTCTCTTCCCAACATCCCTATCCAACCCCCCCCCCGCGCATGACTTTTCGCTTGAGAAGACGGCGCTGACGAACGCTCAGCATACACCAACTACACCTACTCCGGCATCAGCGTGACCTCGACCGCCACGTCCGGGCCCGCAGTCGGGCAGGTGGTGCCGGGCGGCCGGGCGGACCTCTTCGACGTGGTGGCGACGGTGACGGCGACCGTCAAGAACACGGGGGCCGTGGCGGGCGCCGAGGTGGCGCAGCTGTACATCACGCTCCCGTCGGGCGCTGCCGCGTCGCCGCCGAAGCAGCTCCGCGGCTTCGAAAAGCTCCGGCTCGGCGCGGGGGAGTCCGCCACGGCGACGTTCAACCTGAGGCGCAAGGACCTGAGCTACTGGGACGTCCCGAGCCAGAACTGGATCTTGCCCAAGGGGTCCTTCAGGGTGCGGGTCGGGGCCTCGAGCAGGAACCTTCCGCTGGAGGGGAGCTTGGTAGTGTCGTAGTTGGTTTGCCGCCTGACGTTGAGGCCATCGGACGGTTGTGACGAGTGAAGAAGCGTGTAAAATTATATAAAAGACAAGATGTGTAGAATGAGACCCGGACTGTTTCTCACTCGAGGCGTTGCACCACCACGTAAGCCGGCTGCTCAACCGGCGGTCCGTACCCGTGCCAATATGAAATGTCGAGCATTCGGCCCCGGCAGAAGTTGACGCTGGCCGAAAGCGAAGAGTCGAGAACGACATCAGAGCGCCGTCATCCCGCCAGATTCGGAGCAGCTTTCGCGTTCGGATATGTCGGCGGCTCTCCGAATGCCGGGTGGCGGAGCAAACGCCTCCCCGTGATGCGACGATCCCTGTCCACAGCACGAAGGTGCCGGATCAAGGCTTGCGCCCGGGAAACCTAGAACATGTTTCCATTCGTTCTAGAAGGAAGCCGGGGTGGAGCAGCGCCTCACTTACAACACACAGATCGGACCAGGCTGATGCCTGTTCATGGGTTGGGCGAAACATAACAGAGGAAACTTGGGGCGAGAAGGGGGACGTGTCTTTGCCACCTTGGCCTGGGAAAGCTGAGTCGCTGGGCCCGTGGGGAAGCGCAGCACGGGCGAGGCGCGGCTCGGAGAGGCATTGCGATCTCAAACATGACGTGATCCGAGGTGCGAAACAACGGTGGGGAAGTGAGTTTTGCGA